GCAGGAATGATAGTGTAGGCCGATTGAGATGTGACCACAAAGCACTGAGGTGAAATCAAGAATGTGAAAAAACTTTATTGCCAATGAGTGAAGCCAGAGGTCGGAGAAGCAATATGTTGCCCATGCGGGTGAGGGGCCGTGGTTGAGGTCGAAAGACATATCAATGATGATGTTTTGGCCTGATATTTACGATTATTTGTGTTTTATATAATGTTTGATTTATATGGATTGATTAGGGTTTATGGTCATATTTGAAGTTGACAAGTTTCATTTTTTAAAAAAAATTGAAGTAATCAATAAGCCTAAAAAGAATGAAGAAATTATTTCTTATTTTTTCTTAATTTGCTTTAGAAAAGCTGCCTTTGAGAAAGTAGAATAGGAACTATAGTTGAGAAATTGATTTTTAAAATGTCCGACCGATAAAAGTAGAAAAACATAAGTTGACCAACCCCATATGAAGCCCTAGCTAACTTGCATTATAAAGCATGCTCTTATCATAAATATAAAATTTGTGCTTAATGACGCTTCATTGACGCACGCGTGGGAATGTCCGAGACCGAGAGACTCATGCTTCTCGCCTGGACGGAACTAGTCCAGGTTTTCCTTCTTTTGAGGAGTTGGTTGTTCCTCCCGGGCCACTTCTACTTATCCTCTTATTATATATTTATATTCCTAACATTTTGGATTCAATTTTTTACGTGAATTTGTTTAGGACAACAATCGACTTTCGTTCTCCCTTCGAGGGTTGTATTTGAGGGTTTGAGTGGTGTTCCGGCTGCATCTCTCTGCCGATGTGGTGATTATCTTCCCCATCCCTTTCCAAATCCTCCCCATGTAGCTCCCAGTCGCCTTCCATTGTTGCAACCGCCCCATAATAGCCATCGTTGTTGTTTTCACTGCAGTTTTTCCAATTCCAGTCACCACTCCTTGTTGCCAACCCAAATAACCGTCTTCTTGCTATCCTGTAATCCCCTGCATCCCTCGCCATTGCCTCCAAAATTCCCCCTTGCTACCATCGCCTGAAACAACGTTTATTTTCCGTTCACTTGCAATTCCGTTGTTGCCCATCCTTTCCTCTTTGTTTTCGCCACCATTTCAAACCTCCCATCCTTGCTGACATCACCCCGAATAGTCCTCCCACATAGCTCCCTGTTGTTTACTTGTCCAACCTGGGGAAACAATCGACTTGTTCTTTTCTGTTTTTCAACCGTCTTTTCCCACCGCTGCACCACCTTCCAAACCCTCTCCAACCGCCACCACCACCCCTGGTTCTTCCCCCTAGCTTGAGTTAATGTTGTCAATTGTTGAAATTTGAGTTAATGTTGTCAATTGTTGTAATTTCAGATTTCCATTAGTTGGTTGTAATTTCCTATTGATTTCTGTAATAAAACTATTGTTGTTTTGTTTACTCCAGTATCATTCACTCTTGATATTGCTTGGTGTAATGCTATCACTATAATGACATTTAACAAGTATGCTAATCATTAGTTATCTACACGTACCATAATTAATTTTTTGATTTCTTAAAGTACATAACCCTTAAATTTGATGTATAGTAATGCTTAATGATGTTTGATTATTCAATTAATGAAAACTTATTTTTCAGTGGTTGAAGCCTCGTGGTGGGACATAAAAATGCATTTTTGGCTACTATGCGTTCCATTGCATGAGGGATAAATTGTGTTATCGGAGTGCTAGTTTTTATGTGGTTGGTGTGGATATTGAGACTTCTATACGATTTCTTGAGATAATAGCAACCTATTAGATATGTTGATGATGGTTCATTATGGCTTTATGTAGTGGGAATATGTTTCAAATTTAGTGGGTGGTAACACCACGAGTACAAAGTATGTGGGAGTATGTGTGAGAGCGTTGTTCTTCACATTCTTATTTTGTTCTTCTAGATTACTAGGGCTTTTTAGTGTGCCATTGAATGAGTGAATGAATTATTGATTAATTGTTTGATTAACTAAATGATTGTTAATCATGCGTTGAATGTCCCTGGTTAAATGAAACGTGTGGTCAAATAGAATGAAAGATGAAATAAAATGATATGAAGTGTAAGCGGTGTCATGTTATAACTCCCATTATATGCCTTCTTTACATGTTAAATTACAGCTAATATGCAATATCATGTTTTATCGACAACTTTTCTACTATTACAATGAATAGAGATAGAATTCTTCCATTCTTGTAAAATGTTTCTCATATTTACCCTCCTTTAATTATAGGGGCATTTACATGTCTCACATCTAAACTTTCATAGTTACACACATAGCATTCAAATCTTTAATATCACATAAAAAATAACATTATTATCACTTTTAAAAGTGAAATATATCTTTTCATGCATAGGTTTAAAGCACCATAGTGCTATATATGTAATTATGAAAGATTAGGTGTGAGATATGCAAATACATAAGAATTGTGTACTAAGCATGTAAATTTTCCTTATATAGTGTTTAATTTGTATGCGATGATAATGCTATGAAGGATACTTTGTATATTGACATTTTAGATTGGTTTTGCTTGGTTTGCACTGAATTCTTAGGGAGCCATTGAATGAACTGGAAAGCTAAATGTGGTTCTTGACTATGATCAGTTAATGTTGAAATATGTAGACATGGCTGTGTAAAGCTTTAATGAATGGGTATAACTTACTGATTTTAAAATATGTATCATAAAGCTTCTGAGACTTATTGGTTTTATTTTGGATATTAATTGTAGTTGGACTTAGTTTATGTGTTTATGGGTCACTTTTAGTCCTGTGTTTGAATTTGCTTGCTATGATTATATTTTTTGTAGATATTATGGATATTAACTTTTTGTGATTGTAAATTGTTATATAACTGCCTTTATTATATTTTTAAGATGGGTTAAAATAGTTCCCATTGAAGTCTATTTAAAATAATTTGTGGACAAAATTGACACTTTTATGGACTTCTAAGTTCTTATCCCCCTCCTTTTCCTTTCTGCAAGCATGCTCTTTTATCTTCATTTGCAAATGTCATTTTAAGTTTAGACACATATAATAATTATGGGAATTTACAGAAATACCACCTAATTCCTATGTATTGACATATCCTAAACTCTATATTTACATATATACCACCCAAATCTTTCATATCACATCAAATATACCACTATTTTAACCTTTAAAAACTGAAACACACTTTTCATGCACGGTTAAATTGACATATACATGAAAATTGAACGTTTAGGTGTTTGATACATAAATACATGAGAATTGAGTGGTATGCATGTAAATCTTCCTAATAATTAAGATAGCAATGCAATTTATAAGAGAAGAATCAATATCACACCTTTCTAATTCTCTCTCTTATAATGTCCAAAGATGTCTCCTTTGTGATCCCAACTTCATTTTGTTCTTCCTCAGCTCAACAGCCAAGATAAGAAGTGAAGTTCTCTCTCCCTTCCGTTCCGTTCGAATGTTCTTTTACCTCGCCTTCATCGCAAGCGGTGCTGCAGGAGGACTGATAGCCATCACTCAATTAATATCCGCTCTTACAGATCCATCAAAAACTCTACTGCTGCCCGAGGTCTTAAAGGGCCTCGCCATAGATGCAAGCGCAGTTTTCCTTTTCTATTTTCTGTATTCAAGGGAGAACGAAGCAAAGAATGTTCAGTTAGCCAAGCTGTTCAGAGAAGAAAGCCTTTCTCAGCTGAAGCTACAGATTGATCAGAATAAGATAATTGCCGTCAATGATCTGCGGGGAATTGCGCGACTTGTCGTCATTGCCGGCTCTGCGTCTTACATTAACGAATCGTTCAAGCTCAGCGAAGCATTTACGGACAGCCTTCTTGAACGAGGCGTGTTGGTGGTTCCAGTATCCACTGATAAGACGAAACTTGAGTTTGAATCAGCAGAGCGTAAAGGGGAGATTTTTATTGATGAAAGGAGGAAGAAGCTCTGGCAGCTGAGGCCTGTTAACGTTGCAGAATGGAGAAAGTGAGAACTTCTTTAATGCGTGTTTGGGGTTTCAGTTTTAGGAAGATTTGCATACAGATCACTCAAATGCCTGTGCATTTACATATCTAACACCAAAAGTTCAATTTTTGCATTCATGCCATGCCACCTTACCTATGCATGAAAATGTGTTTTTTATGTGATGTGAAAGATTTGGGTGGTAGCCATGAAAAAAAAAAACAAAGTTTATGTGTTAGATATGTGATTACATAGAAATTAGGTTGTATGTATGTAAAAGCCATTAGTTTTATCATTTAGCTGTTTACTGTGTGCTGTTTTCTGCAGTTGGATAGATGAGCAGAAGAAACTGGCTACTGTTCCGCTTGATTCTCCTGTGTGAGTACTCTTTCATCTTCTTCATACCACTTAATTCCTATGTATTTACATTTCTATCACCTACATTTCATACCTTAACTATCACTTTTTAAAAATTAAAATAATGGTATTTTGTATATGATATGAAAGATTTGGGTGGTATACATGTAGAAAGTAAAGTTTTAGGTTGCAGATTTGTAAATACATAAAAATTGGATGGTATGTATGTAATAATGAACTTGTTTATTAAATGAGAACCCCAAATTTTCAGAGAAGTTATTGTTAAAGAAAATGATAATCAATTGGAAGATACATATGCATTAAACTTATGTTGGCATTGTGGTTCTGCT